ACTGGTGCAGCTGACAGCAGCCGCTGAAGATAAACAGACCGTCTCTACCTCGTCGAAGATTAAAGCTGTATTATAAAATATACAGTGACTACACTTTGTTAAATGGCTTCTTAAAAACCAGACAGATCCATCCTTCTCAAGGTGCACGCGGAGCCTCTCCAAGGAGCCCAGCCCTATAGAAAAGCCCTTTCAGAATCGCCCAGTAGTCGTCCATACTGGGGCAGCAGCCATCCGGAAAATTGAGTCCCGGTTTTGAAACAGATTTTACACATGCTTTTTTTTTAAATCCTGGGTGTGCTACAACAATTGTCCCCCCCCCCCCTTAATTAAATTTTTTTTATTAACTTCAGTAAAACAATGTATTTTTAGCCTCAGCCAAATTGGGGAAATTTGGTTATCGCAGAGCAAAGCTTTGTAAAGAGAAGAAAGCCTCAATGTCACAAATACAAGGAAATAGACATCAACCTTCTAAGTTAGTACAATTTTATTAGATATATATTGAGTATACTGCGATACAGATCTGCGCAAAAAAAAAAAAACAATTTATTACATACTGCTTGCATTTTAATACATTACGGGCTGGAGTTTTATAGTCTTTGTTTAAAAACAGATGAGCGATGACAAGATTTAAGTCTCCTGCAAATTGTTTTCTACGCATTATCTAACAAAATGTAAGCACACATTTAAAATACACAGATAAACGATTACATACTCCAGAAAGTTCATGTACTGGGTTACTTCTGAATGCCCAAATATTTTGCCTAATTAGGAAGGCAAGCCAGTAATCTGAAGGACACTGAAGCCTTATAAACGTTTGTTAACAACTGTGGTCTTATGGAGAGGGATTTCCTGTGTTTCAGACCAGTGTCCTTGAACAACAGTGTTACATCAGAATTACACAACCGTGCCCTCCACTCTGACCCTCGTACAAAACACTACACATTAAAGAAAAAACACGCTGTCGTCACCAAGTCACTGGTGCCCTGCCGCAGATTTTAAGGGACATTCCCTTCAACATGGGGAGAATACAGGAGAATGCTAAACCATTACTGAACATTATCCATTTCACATGTTTATAAAAATGGAAGATTAGGCCACACGTTATGATAAACTTAAATTTTGTCACTGCGCTACACTACATTTTTTGTAGATCTCTCCGGCTACAAATACACACTTAATTTACTTCGCCCAAGTAATAGAGACGCACGGCAATTCTTCTCAGCTCCATTTCAGCACCCTTCTCATCACACATTAAGCCAAGTATGTAGGGGGCTATGAAAGATCGAGTGAGGACTTCCACAAAGGGCAATCAGCTGAAATTGCAACAGCCGTTCTGCAATTAAAAAGCCAAATTACTCTCAATCAAAGCCGTTTAATTCAGAATAAAAATCCTGGCATCAATAACACGAAGAAGTCTGTTCAGGCAGCTCTCATCTTGATGGGAATTAGCAAAAAAGTGTCCAAATAAAGACAGTGAGATGCTCAAACGGAGGAGGGAAAAAAAAAAACCATCTCTCAACTCAGCCACTTTCAAGTGCTAATAACTGACACGAGATTCAATAATAAGGCACACACATTTCCCCTCTACATTTTTTCATGCATTCGTGAAACAAAAACAGAGAAAATTGTATGTATTGATCATGTTTTCCCTCACTGCAGATCCTTCAGCACTTGCATAGAAAATTAAATATTTTCCACAAACAATATTTAGCAGAGGTTGAATAGAAATTGCATTTGTGTGTTGACAAAGACTGGAAATATACAGTTTGATTATAGCAGCTGAGTGGGTTTTTGATGAATTCTTCCTCCTTCCTACTTAAGGTACACACCATATCTTTTGAGGAGACTATGAACTAGACCTCCTCCATTTCCCTGGAATGGCAGTCACCAAATATTTAATATTTAAAGACTATTTTACATATTAAAGATGCTGCAAATTCATACACTTATTTTGACTTATTTAACCATGCGGAGAATTTAATAAAGCGTTTCCATTTTAGGTCCAACAGAGGACTCCGACCTTCTGAAAAAAATAACTAAAGCTACCTGAGACAAAGCAAGTTTAGCGGCCCTTGACAAAATCACCCATTTAATACATGCTAAAGGGACCAGCATGGCAATGGAGAGACTGATGGGGAGTAAAAAAGCAGCCTGTACTGCCACCATACACATCTTTGGCACCCATGCTATAAGACTCTGATTGGTTGGCCAGTAAAGACAGCAAAAAAATATATATATATATACATATATACATACATACATACATACATAACGACACTGTACACCAATACACGTCCAAGCAGGTTTAAAAAGCAACATAACCCCTAAATGCACTTTCATAAAATCATCTAATGCCTATATAATCAACAATATACTATGCAGCCAATAATTCCTTGGTGGTCTCATGCCAGGCTTTGTCCATGCGGCAGACTACATGCAAACATGCACAAGCACCCCCACGCATGCGCACACTTCCAGGAGGGGCCCTGCTGTAGGTACTTAAACTGAACTGCTACAGTGAAGCATCTAACTGTATAAAGAAAAAGGCACATAAAAAACTCCATATCACACTCCATCTATCTTCCATAACTGCTTACCCAGCACGGCATCACAGTGAATCTGGGAATGATCCCAGGAAGGACACAGGGCAGGGGACACCCTGGATGGGCTGCCAGTCAGTCAGATGGCATGCTACGGACCTTATGATAAAATCGAGGCACCAAGCAAAACACCCAGGCAAAGACAGGCAGGAATCAGACCCTCAATCCAGAAGGTATAAGCTATGGTTAACAGTCCAACAATGCAAACTGAAATTACTCATTAAAATCAGCATCTTTTAAGAAAACAGCATTTCCGAACAGAGTGTTTTGGTTAGAGCATGGTTTCATTCCTGTAAGCAAGGGCATAAGGGAACCTGTAGGAAACAACCCCCACCCCAGCTCAAACCCACAGGCCCTAGCTGGCCTTCTTTGCTTGTAAAGCTCGATATGGCCCTTTAGGAGGCCAGACCAGAGGGGTAAGTGTAGCACATTCAAGGTCCTGATTAGGCTGCTTCAGAATCCCCCCCCCCACCCACCCCACCCGGGACCAGTAAGCATTACTACTGCTGAATGGAAAATTCACTATGAATTCTGCACTTTAAGGTACATTTTTAACATTCCCCATGAGATGAATACCACCTCAGAAACATCCTACACCCTCCATATTTTTAAGATATATTAAGAGCAAACCCAACTGACAGAATTAATAAACATGGTCTAACTGCCGACTACCTTTTAAAATAACTGCACACAACTAGCAGCTAGAAGCACATTAAATCCATGTGACATCGGATTCCTGATCCCATCCTTCAAACCCAACACAAAGATCAACTAATAAGGCCACTTTATTTCCATAGTCCAAAGACAGGCTCAATGGTTTTGAATCATTTTAAAGATGTTCGTTAATACCCTTCAGCTTCATACGTGATATATTCTAATGACGCTCGCGATACCATTACTAATTCCCGCCGCACTCAAATAACCTCTAATACTAGAAATATTATATTTATTTTAAGACGACACTCAGGCATCAACGCTTCTTCTACAAAATAATGGTGTCGTTTGCATATACTATAACAACTGTCTACGGCAAAAATACTGTATTAAACCAAATTTAAAAACCGTACACCGACCTAAGGCGGCGTATATTCAACTCGACAGCGCTAGAGATGCGTCGGCTTAGTTATGCGCCCACTTGACTAGAAACTTCACATTCACAGCCATTATCCAGGCGACGGGTAAGATGCCGAGTCAGACCAAATGCCCATCCGCGGAGCTCAGCCATAACACTTCGTCCTTTGCGTGTTCCTCACGTCCAGCGGCACGGTAACGCCACGGAGGAGCGAAGCGAGCAGGGAGTACCAGCGGAGTCCCACTACCTGTGGATGCAAACGGCAACGTGCCGCGGTCCAGCGCGCGCCCGTCCGCTCGCCCGCAAGCGCGCGCATACACACACACACACTCACACAGAAACCACGAGCGTGTGACATGAAAATGCGTTACCGTGCGTCAATAATCAGCCCGCTGTACACTTCCATCCAGCGGTGCTCCTTTTAATATAATGTGCATGACATAGTAACCTAAATATTCTGCGACGAATTATGCCTCGTCAGTCCGTCCTATATCGGAATGCGGGCTACATATCCAGCAAAAATGCATCTCACTACCTGGAAGCAATCCCCCTTGCAAGCATCAAAAACGCGGCTGCCATGTGACAGATTCTTACTGTGCTTCATTTGTCAAGTTAACGGAGTAGCGAGCACTGTCAGAGACTAGGTCTGACACATGATCCATAATGTGAGCATGTGCATTCGACTGTTCTGAAAACCAATAAACCTGCGTAGATACGTTATGGGAAACACCTAGAGACATCTGAACTTCGCCAACAGTGAAGAGAGAATAAAAACTTCATAACCACGATTGCAAAAACTTAAGGTAAACCTTTCAGTATAAACTTCAGCTACGTCAATCCAAACATCTCGCTTATTCCCAAATGAAACCATCGGCAGTAATGTCAGAAATATCACGCCATATCAGTAATTATAAACCGATCATCAACACCTTGACACCCTCACAACAGAACTAAGATTTAACTGTCACTGCCAGATTACGGGTTAAACCTGCGCACGTAGTTTTCAAACCGCATAGTTTGTCGCGCGACAGCAAAGTTAACTGTCCAGCCAGCTGTGCGACACCAGATACGACTTTGGCAGCTGGAGCAGCAAGCCGAGTCCAGCGTGGGCAAAGAGTACAAGTAACTGGCTAAGTATCCAACAACGTACCGCGACAGTGCAACCTTTACTTATTGTCCCTTAAGTCAGTGGCTGGATGACGGCAAGGCCTTTTCTGAATAACTTCATCGCCTTAGTTGGACGACATTCCGCCGCCCCGCCAGGAGCAGTCCCTAAACCGGGCCTGGCTTCGGACTCGGATTCCCCCGTGTCCCCCAAGCTTACTTACTCTCTGCTAGGCGCTACCGCTGTGCTGAACGGGTCCAGGTTAGCTCTGGATCAAGCGGCAATCTCCCCTCACTCGCAACTTCGTCTTCACCCAAGGGGGTTGAGCTTCTTCGCCGCCACAGCCGCCGCCGCCACCACCACTGGCGCCACTCCCCCTCCTCCCCTGCCGCTGGTGCTGCTGACACGTTCCCTTGATTTCCCCCGGCTTACGCTCGCTTCACATTGGTCAGCGCACTGGTCAGTATCGTCCTCAGGATTCAGGCACCTTTCCCCCCCCCCTCACAGTTATACTTACAATTCCACAGCGAACATCCGGGGACTCTCTCGCTAAAAGAAACACCCGGAACTACTTCCAGAGCCAGCCGGAGCGCATTTTCAAACCAGACGACTCATATACATACGCACGATTAAGTAGCCCCTGTTTTTTCTACATTTGTGACGTTTAAAATGTCGCTATAGACGCCGCATTATGAAGCACAGAAAAAGTCATAAAAACCTTAAGCAATTGCAATCTGTGCCCCTAATACATTAAGCTTTGTTTATCCAGATAATTTGTGCCTGCCAGTAATGAACTCTTCAACACCACTTGTTGAAATTTGGAGCTCTCCTAGATTTAAAATAATAAAACAAAGAATCATATTCGTCTATTTTATAATGGACTTAATTTTATGTCATTGTTTTATTTAATTTTTGTCATGTATTGCATTTATTAACGTTAATAATGAATATAGCGTAACAGCTGCCCTGTGGTTTAAATAAAACACTAGTGCCCTCTACTGGGCAAACTCCTTGTATAAGAATCAGAATCAACTTCATTTAGCCAAGTACTGTACGAGTATGTTCAAGAATTGTGTTTTTGGTGTGTTGGGTTATACATATTGCACAGTAAGTTATAATAAATCAACCACGAAGCACAGACAGGTTAAAACATGATATACAAGGTAGGATACTGAGGAGCGAACTCCTTAAGATTTATTTCATTTTAGTTGCTTAGTCTAAAATTTATCCAAAGGGAACTGCATAGCTTACTATTTGCCTTTATGACATTTTTTTATATTTCTGATATAGTGGTGTAGCTTCGCTTTGCTGTACAACACAAGCACTGGTACAGCCGTTACAGTGAGGGGCGTGTTCTTAATTTTCATAATAATCATAATATTAAATTCTTTAAAGTTAATTCACTATTTTCAAGTTTTTATTGTCACGTGTTCTAAGAAAATCGTTGTGCAGTTGCAAGAGAGGGGGAAAGTGCATGGGGGACAACAAGGGAAAAAATCAGTGCCATACAGAACAAACGGCAGTGAATTAAGAGCAAGACAAGACAAAAGGCTGTGCAAATATCCAATGAGGTAGACAGTACTTATGAAGAGTGGAAAGAGTGGAATATTCATAACAGTATGCCATACAATACACCTGGAACAGATGCAGGTCACTGGTTATTTAGCAACCTGTAGGTTTGGGGTAAGAAGTTGTCCCTGAAACAGGTGGTGCGGGTGATGATGTACTGGTAGTGATTTCCCAAGTGTAAAGAGGCTGTCAGCTAGCTGGCTGGTGTCCCTGTTGATGGACTCAGCCCTCTTCTGGCAGTGAGAGACATAGATGGATTGTAAGAGGACAAGATCTGCACTGATGATATACAAGGTGGATTGCACAGTCCTTTGTAGCAGTCTTTGTATGAGTTCTTCAGCAGTTGTGTTACCCATCCACACCCTCATGCATCCAATCAGGATGCTCTCAGTGGTGCAACAGTAGAAGTTCACCGGGATTTTGGTTCCCAACCCAAAGTTCTTTAGCTTCCTCAGGAAGATCCTAACCCTTCTTGTGGATGCAGCTGATGTCTAGAGACCATGAGAGGGTGTCGGTGATCTGGACACCCAGGGACCTGAATCAGCTGACTGTCATGATGGGAGATCCAGCAATGAATAGTGGGTAGTGAAACTCTATGGTCCTTCTGGATTGGACAATGATCTCCTTTGTCCTTTTGATATTCAGTGAGAGCTGGTTGCCGTGGCACCATACAATCAGGTCTTCTGCCTCCTTCCAGTAGGCAGCCTCATCCTCATTGCTGATGAAGCCAATGACAGCAGTGTTGTCCACAAACTTTATAATGCTGATAAATTTATATTTTACGAACATTTATATTTGATAGTTACACCTTTAAATGGCTGTGGGTGGAGCTGAACTTGCAGTGATGTAACAATACCCAATTAAAATGAATTGATTTCCAAATGCAGTAGAAATGTACTTTATATAAACCTGAAGTAGTAATAATCATTCCAAAGATATTTTCCTATATATTTAATTTTCATTTATCTTTCAGTCTCAAACTAGCAAATCATTTTTAATGAAGGAATGGTTTTAATGCAGTATTCTATATTTTTCTTCTGTTACAATTTTTACATTATAATGTATTCCACTCACCTATGTTTAATTTAATTTAATTAATTTAACACTTCATGATTTTTATTGCTTAGTACCATCCACTCTGTTTTGATGTCAAGGTAAATTTGTCCTTCAAAGACCTTTAATGTTTGACCATTTCCTCTTCTTTGATCAAATATGCAATTTTATGTAAATTTAAATAAATTTTTATGCATGAATACGTCTCATTTCTATTGTATGGTTGAAGCACCTGGCCACATCATTTTCTTATGCATGACCAAGCAAGATCAATGTGGAAATATTGTATTGTACTCCAATATATTGGGTTATGTTCAATACAACTTCACATAACATCTGTAAGCTCAAGAAAACATATGCATCTCCATGTTTCCTCTGTTTTGATTAATAAAGAAGAATACTAAGCTTTACTGCATTTACAGAAGATGCAATACATAAAGGGACGACAGAGGGCACCCTTCCCTAAAATCTCCATATTCTATATACACCACAAATCTGGTTTTAGTGCAACTTAACCATAAACAACATAAGTGTTATAACATACGTTATATTGTAAAATAATGCACACTATTAAAACCGTAACTAGGCCTTGTTGTTGTTGTTATTTTTTATGGTGTAGCAGCGATAGTAGCAACAAATTCCCACAAGGTATTAAATATTTTGTGAACTTTTTGGTGAGAGGGGTGGCCATAATCAAAGGTTCAAGATCAAGTTCATTTGTCATTCCAGCCATATCTAAGATACAATGGGACGAAATTACATTCTTAAGATATGTAATTTTTATTTTTACAGATAAAAATAAACTAACTGGCTTTATTATGTACATATTATAGAGAGTTTAACAATCTTATCACATGCCGCAACAAGCTATTGCATACTGTCTGTTATGATTTTATGGAGCAATATCTCCACCCAGATGGCAAGAGATCAAACAGAGATGGATGTGAGGAGTCTCTCACTAAACATTCAGAAGCCACTGCAAAAATCTGACTAGTCAACCAATCAACAGCCAAAAATATTACTGCCGAGTCAAATGACAGCACTGAAAAATTCACTGAAAAGGGTTAATTGAGGTCCCTAATTAGCAGAGACCCCTCGACTTCGTCCCAGGTAAACCCGTGCATTACAGCGCATCTATCAGCAATCAAATCATAACTTCTTTTCCAAGTGCAGCCATTATATTTACCAAAATAAGCTTAGCCTTGACCCAGTGCTTACTTCCTATTTACATGCAATGCAAAGTCTGCAGAAGACGGCTGTGAAGCTGTGCAGGAGGGTTGCAGACAAGTAGCTGACTGACAGATTTTTATATATATATATATATATATATATATATATATATATATATATATATAAATACACACACACACACACACGGGCTATTACAACCAAAATGGGAATCAGTTTCTCATTTCAGTACGAAAAACAACTGCAAGCGACTCTTCAGGGTTTTCATACGAAACTGATGTATTGAATATACTACAACGCGACATAAATCTATCCAACGACATATATGACTATTCTTTAACTATGCCTCAGGGTATACATATTTATGCAAAAACACAAAATGATATGCTACAGGTGCGCCGTCTTTGATACGAAATCGAGCAACAAATGCGCGCAGGTCTCCTTTAAATTTTTGTTAAACTGTAGTTTACATAAACGGAAGGCATTTGCTTTCACGTCCTTCGTAGATGAAGAGACTAACTAACTTTACATTGATTTCCACATCAGCATCGCCGAAGTGGGTCATTGACGGCACCTCTCGACCAATGTGATCACATGACTTTTTATGTATGACGCACAATAGGCTGAAAATCGCAAAGCAGCTCAGCTAATGGCGCCGGGGATGTAGTTGAAATCACTTAATACCCATGCCAGCATGCCTGCATAACATTAAAATAACATGCCTACAACATATAACATACGCAAGTGCATAGGTATATCGCCGATTATACTATATTTTAATTTTCGCATGCAGCTATATGACAATTATGGAACTTCCCTTTTCAGTAGTAACCCAATAAGTGATTTTTTTGATCACAAAATGGTAGCTGGCAGAACCATGTGTCGTCTGAAATAAGCACCGCGAGATTTGCTCCAACGCTAGTGACTTAACAGAAAAACAAAAAAGGCATAATCCCCTTATGGAAATCACTGATGCCTTGTATTAGGAGAATAATTGTTTTCCCATATTTTTCCAGATGCGGACTATCACAGCACGGCTTTGTTTATAACATTTCCTGACTATTCCGGCATCGATATATTTTCTGTCATATCAGCGCAGACACGAGCGACAGTATTCAAGCCTCCCCATACCCGGTCTGAACCGGTTCGGGCAAAGCGCGGGCTCGTGGTAACACCCCCCTCTCCCTTTTTGCTTGCCCAACGCGTGCTTCTCTCCGCATCCTCAAGCACTCGTTAGTCACAATGGCGGAGTACGCTCGCCTTCTCATTGGCTCACAGGCCTACGCGAGCCTCCACACCTTCATTATTCCGATTGGTCGACTAGATCTAATAGCCCGCTTTTACCGCTATCAGTGTCAAATGCGATTGGGCACCGGGTGAGCAATTCCACGTTTTTATTGGCTATCAGGGATTTTTTTGTTCCAGTTAGGCGGATAGGTAACAGTTGTAAACGCAGCGCGTGTTGGAAGAATAAGCGTAGGGTGGAAAACAAATGCGCATCTTTTCAGCACCGACTCCGTGGATAGCAAGGACTTAATTAGGAGCGGGATCGAAAGCGGGTGGATCGGCCGTTTCAGCTTCGCGGAGCACAATCTGTATTTTATCTTTTTTTCTTCCCCACAGGCAGAGGGGTTTGCTGTGTGCACAGGAAGATAGCGTTGATTTGGTGATAGGCGGATTTAAAGCGCGTTGTGCTAGCTAGCTATACTTGTTCGCCCTTAACGGGGCTGCAAGCCACTTCTATCGAGCTATCGATAGATAGCTAGCTACCTAGCTAGCTAATATCTAAAGAAAGCGCTTGGATCAATCTGATTGATCTGATTGATGAATCTAAGGAACGACGTTAAAGCGGCCAGCATCCATTAAGACCCCGGTCTGGCGTTATTCTGACAGGATTGATTCGCTTTAGTAGGATCCTGGATCGGGAGGGCCGGGAATAACACATCGTAAATCGAACGAGAACTGCAGGAATTCACGATTTCCTCGGTTTTCCTTCGTCGCGACGCTTCAAGCTGCTGCACTTGGATCGGGTTGCTGTAGCTTGTAGGCTCGTCTACTGCCCCCTTTGCGCTTGTGTTATTCCCGTAATTCTACCGACCCCGGATCCCGCGCTCTCGCATATGCCGTTTGCCCCCTGCTTCCAGCCCATCTCTCATCCCTAGCGACTCGTTGCCTCCGTTTTGATAGAAGTTCGGTTTCAGTGTAGCTAGCCATGTGCTCCCGGGTGTGGTTTGTTACTGACCGGCGGATCAGCCAAGAGTACCCGCAGGTTCAGATCCTCAGGGCTCTGAAGCAGCGCTGCGCTGAGGAGGATGTCGAGTTCCGCTCATTGCTTATGGATCAGATCGTGCTCACCATCTCCGATGGACAACTGGGTGAGTATAGCCGTTTTCAGAGCTAGAAGATGCATTTTTGCGTGAACCCTGACCGGATGGTTGGTGTTTCGCTTTCTAAGAGTAGATGTATGTGTATGGGGAGAGATTTCATTTTAATGCTTTTTATAACCGTATCGTTCTTGGTTTGCTGGCAAACGTGGACGGCGATGCAGTGCTGCCCAGCTGGGAGTAGTGTTCAGTCCAAGCAGGGGTTCAAAATGGGCGACCGCTGTTTTTGTCTGAGAGGGAGAGCTATGTGGCGCGGTGAATAATCGCCGCTACCCGCTACGCCGCCGAGTTGCCTGGTTTAAACTCGTCTTTTGGTTTATATAATGTGTTCGAAGGGAATTAATACGCTCTCCGCACCGGCCATCGCCTCGGGGGCAAAAAAAAAAAGAAACGCAACGCGTGAACGCATCACCGATCGGGACCCCATAAGCAATGCGGCCCCCGCTTCGTCCCGTCTGACTCAAACACGTAATGTTGATCACGAATATTAACTATTATTAACTGCTCGGAAGTACTTTAAAATTATACAGAACATATTTTTCCACTAGTACTTGCTATAAGAATTTATCGGGCAGACCGAGCGAGGCTATGAATTGACACGGGTCCGAGATCCGGTGTTGGCGAAGGATGGCGTTTTAATGGATAGCGGTGTGTGCGTGAGTGACTAAGCGTGGCATGCGGTACGCGGGCTGGCCGAGAGCAAATTCATGCGTGGTGTATTGATTTTTTTTCCGTGTCTGCTGACAAAACTTCTCACTTACAGCCCCATTGAAGACCTGGTTAGAACCGGTTTTGTGCGATCCAGCAGACGTGCAAGCCTCCGGATAAATGCCCGCGGTCACGTTCGTGTTTCTGCTCTAGTTATTTCCAGTGACCCAATGCGGATATGGACACACGCTATTTGCATTTCATTTCTCAGTTTTTTTTAAAAGGTAATGTTTAAAATAGTTTTAGTAAACGATAGTATTGCTGGAGCCCCCCCACCACCACCACCTGTGCCCTTGGTTTCTACATGAAGATTTAGGTTCCTGGCTGACGGTGTCAGCCTTGCGCTAGATGTAGCTTAGCCCCTCGCCATCACAAGGGCGCCATCGGTCAGTAACTGATCGGCTCGGCGTCGAAGGGTGCAGCTTCCGAGCTGCAATTTTTCTGCTAACATGGGCTGTTAATTTTACAGGTGAACTATTAGCAAAGGAAAGGCCGGTGTGAGGCTGACGTGTTCAGACAGCTCTCCAAGGAGCTGCGCTGATCGCCGCCAGCCTGGGCTGTCTGTCCCCAGAGGCGTAGCCGCCTCCCTCCCGTGGGTAATGCATCCAGATGTTTCAGGTGTCAACACTAGCATGCATGTAGACCTGCGTTTTTTTTTTTTTTTATAAAAAAAAGCCTTTAAATGATCCTTGGAATGGCATGTGGAGTGCAGATGTGCTGTGCCCATTGATGCAGTCACCAGACCGAATTGTGCTGCAGGCCTGCAGTGAGATATGCACTGGAGAAGTGGCCACCACAACTAGGAGCACCTCCACTTGATCTGTCGCTCTTCTGAAAGACAAGACACCCGCTCTCTTCCTAAGCAAATGAGTGACGTGTCTTCAAGTCATACCACGCTCTGTTCAGGCTTGATTCTTAATTAGTGGGTAGGGTTGGTCTGTGAACATGGCGTTCTGCTCGGTCAGCAAGGGAGGGGCTCTGGGGATAGGCCGATTGACCCATCCAGGACAGATATAAAGGCACCTCCTGGAAGGTGCAGATCCACCATCATGCTGTTCCTGCCTCTGTCAGCTCCTCGGGGGTGACTGGCAGAGTGAGTTCATCAGGCTTCAGATGAACCGTCCAGCAGCCTGCCGGCTTCTTATCGTTAGCAGCTGGTGCGTTCCATTAAACGGGCGACCAGCCCTGATGACGGTGTTCAGCTACCTTGTAACCAGTGCCGGATTGACACCAGGTGAGGTAATGTGATACCCCAGATGAATAACTGGGAGCTGAATGACTGACACACGCCTGGATCAGCTGACCCGCAGCTGACATGGCGGCTGCGATGAGTCTGAATGCGCTTGGCGCCATTGCAAGTGCCCACCGCGATTTGTCAAAATGGAATGGAAGGTGGGGTCTTTCAGACCGTTTTTACTGGCTTTATTTTTTGCATGATGACGAGTCACTGGCATGCAGGCACAACCAGATCTGCCGGCTTGTCTATGAGCGTCACATGTCCCGAATTGTCTTATGTGCGGGTGGGGGGTTTGACTCAGCTGCACCTCTCACCCAAAATTATAACAGGACCCACTAGTTTGTTCTCTTTCTCTCCCCTGCAGCCGTTTTCAGTCTCAGAGAAACGCCCCAATTTCTTAGCGTTTTTGGAGAGCTCTTCCAACGCTTTCTGTTTCTCCGTAATGCCCTAAGAATCGGCCCCATTCTTCTCCTCCTGTAGCTCGGGATCTTAAAAGAAGGAGGCATTCTTTGCGTTCACACCCTTCCCTCAGTCTCTGTCTCCCTAGTGCCCGCCTCTTCTCCAGGTCCTCATCAGTGTCAGTGACAGCTTGCTCATTGAAATTTTTATTTTTTTTTAAATACCTGACACCAGAGTTCGGTGAAACGCTTCGGGCAAGCGTGGTAGCCCTGGGCCTTTGGCTGCCGATATGCTGCACATAGTGTTTGCGGGGCCCGTCGCACTCGACCCAGCTTACCGCCCAACATCGGCGCAGCGCGTTTGCGCGCCTTTGCATGAAAGTGCACAGTTGGAGCGTCGCTGTGCCAGCATGGCGGAACAATGGGCATTACTCGCATATCGAGTCAGACGCCCAGCCGTCGCTGGGGCCTCGATCGCTGAGCTCGCCCCGGCTTTCAGTCGACCCATGTGTGACGGGCGAGTCCTTTCACTTGCCTGCTGGGGGTGGCAGTTGCTTGGATACAAAACAAATGCTTCTCTTCTCCCTTGTTTAACAGTTAATGCCTTCCCGCCCCACTGGAATCGCCCCGTAATCAGGGTTCAGTTCCAGTTTGTCTCCGTGCGAGTTGAGGTCGGTTCTGTAGTACTGCACCTTCTTCCCTGGGGGCGACATATTAAATGCGCGACCGTGGCAGAGGATCAGGACGGTCTGGCAGAAGCCCCCTCTTCGGTCCCGGGTGCCGATTGGGCACAGACATGCCCGCTGGCCATCCTAACGAGCCCCACGCCATCGCCCTGGCAGGCTGCGGTGGAAGATGAGACGCATGAAGCGAGCGGGGAAGATTTACGGCGACGCCTGAGTGATTTCAGACGCGCGTGGTATAAAGCCATCTGGCGGTTGGATCAGAGAGCTGCCTCCCCCTCTTGTCCCCCTTTGGATGCAGGCATGTTTTGGGGTGATGGGGGTGTAGCTCTGTGAGGGCAGTTTCCGGAGGGAATTTGGTGGTGGGATGTGAGAAGGCACTTCTGTGTGTCAGGGTAGTGATGGTCACGTAGGCGCATTCGCTCTTCTGTGTTTATTGCGAGCCTTTGTGCTGGGGGTCAGGGGTCACGGGGGAGCATGACATGGGGCTTCTCAGCAGGTCGCCACAACTCCGGACTTGACTTCCTTTGACGAGGGGCTCGCTGCTTTTTCTCTTGACCCTTTAATAGGTGCTAACCCACCCCCTGGGCTATTCAAGTTGTGGGCCGGTCCGTCACGATCCAATCGACCAATGACGGCGTGGCCTTTCAGCCGCTCCTTTATGGGTCATCGTTTGAGGAGGTGCTCTTCACGGACCTGAGGGCTAGGGAGGAGCTCAGCCTCCCAGGTGCTCGATTCTGGAGCGCAGCCGGGGTACGTGCTACCTGCCGTTTGGATCCGCACAGGGCTGGGTTGAGCCCTGACACAGCAGATTAAGGCGTGGGGTTTTGGGTTACGCAGTGTGAGGCTTCAGCTGGCAAGCTGGGTTTGGGGCACATGATGATAAAGCAGTGACCTGTGACAGGGGTGGGCGGGGTGGGGGTTATGCTCCTCAGATGTGTGCCATTATCTTACGTTTGGGCCCTACGTGATGGGTCTGGTGATGTCCTGGGACCACATGGGGACCTAAATAAACGGCCAGTTTGTGTTGCAGGGATGTCATTTTAGTGCTAAATCAGCAAACGGCTTGGATGGGGGGTGGGGCTGACTGGCAGTGTTTTGCCGACATGGCAGGATGGTATGTTCCGTTATTTCACTCTCCTGAAAAGCCTCAGTGATTCCTCTTGTGAGGATCAATACAACCATAGTGATATATGGGCTGACATTAATGGGATTTTGCAAATTTTTAGGATTTTTTTTTTTCTGATAGGAGGAAACCGCCCCCCCCCCCCTCCCAGCAGAGGGGGGACCCCAGATGATCCTAACTAGAGTAACAGATGAGCTTATCTGACGCTCTGCCATCACAGACATTCACAGCCAGGAATGAACATGCTAGCGTGTTTGGGACTAGAGCAGATCTGGTGTAGGGCCGCAGTGTCGAGTGTGGCTGCAATTCCCTGCGTGACGGTCCTCTTGGGTGTGATTGGGACGCCTTTGTTTCTGTCATAATGGCCCCGGTCGCTGGGGAGGGGGTTGGTGGGGTAGACAGGGCGGGTGTGTGTCTGCCAAGGCCAATCAGTGTTTAATCTTATGTTACAGTCACATCACACAGTGTGTTGTGGGTCTGTGCTTAACTGGGCTTTGCAAAATGGTTTCTTGACTTAAAAAATATATGAAACTGTATTAAGAGTCAGAATATGTAAAGCTGGAAAAATAACCTTGATTCTTATGCAGTATTGATTCCCCCCTTTTTCAGCTGCAGTAACTGGTTTAGTTCATGGGAGACAGACTGTTGTCTCCATTTATTTTGCACTCATCTCCATCTTACGCAGCTCATGGCCCAAAGCGGCTTGTTGCGGTCCAGCTTTTCTCTGACTGCGGGATCAGACAGACCCTGGAGTCCTCTGGTTTGACCCTTGACTTCCGGGGAATTCTCGTGACCGTTTCCGTGACGATGCAGTGTTCCGCATGCCTCAGAAACCCCCCCCACCCCCACCCCAGCTTGGGTCATGTGCTTCTCAGTGCCGCAGTTCTTCCTGTGGGGGGCTCCCTATTCGTGATCTTGGGTCATCGAAGCTGGGGTTTGTCCGCCCCTCCCCCCACTCGACCCACAGGCACTGGTGTGATGTCACCTTCAGGCGTGCAGGGATTGAGGGAATCGTGACAGGCAGACCGCACGTCTGGCTTATCCGCCATGAAGCCCGGCCCTCTGTCACACATGCTGGGGGCCAGGGGCGTGCCGTGTGTCCGTTCTCCACATTGCATCATCCCTGCTGCAGATCCCCACCCCCCGGCTGACGGAGCCTCTCTGTCAGTATTGCGTCTATTGAATGGCTGCTGAAGGAAAGCGGCCCGGAGCCTTGTGAACAGAACCTGCCCCGCCGTCCCAGATTTACAGGGGGCGTGTGAAAGCGATAAATTAGCCAATGGTAGCAGTGCGGCGGCTGGACGGGACTGAAATAATGCGAGGCGTCTCGTACGTTTTCTGTCCTCCTTAAACACCCCCCCCCCATGCATTATGTACTCTGCGGACATGCTCCTCCTCCTCTTCTCTTCATCTCACTCGCAATCGAATGTCTTCCAGTTTTATCAGAAGCTTCCCTCCTGCATTGACCCGCAAAGGCGATCACTCCACGGTAGCCTGGCGGTCCTCGTGGCTCTCACCAGATACCCCCTGGCGTTAGTCGGTCTCCAAAAAATGTGCTGAAGTGCTGAATTCAGTCTGTCCCTGCCTCTGCTCCTCTCTGCTCCTCCCTTCCCTTGTTAGCCCGGCTCTCGCTACTGTTCCCATGTCCGCAGCCATGAACAAATGGCGCCTGTTCCCTGATGCTATCCGACCTTCCCGATGAGGAATGTAAGATCAGCCTTCCCCGTCTATACCTGTTAAATTTCGACCAGTATCCCAGTTACCCTGCTGGTTAAGCCCTGCTGAGCGCACCGTTAACCCGGCACATGGTATCGGTTCAGCTGTTTATGGAGACTTTCCATTGCTCCAAAGAGCAAGATTCAGAGTGTAATTTGACTGCATTAAATTACTGGTGTATCTGTCACATAATAGAAGGCATGATATTTAATGTTGATATTCAGCTAATTTAATCCCTTTTTTATTTTAACGCAGCTGACCTGCTAGTCATCTCACGAATCTGGAAATTCTGGAGATTTATTGTAGTTGTTGTTATTATTAATGTGCTTTAAGAGAAATCCTGTTTCTCTCCATGCGACATCTGATGTGAAAAGGCTGCTTGTGTTTTTCTCCTGTGGCATTAGGGGTTTAAATTAAGGCCTCTCCCATTGAGAAGCCCAGATGGACAGAGGGCTGAAAGCGCACCTTTGTGCGTCCTGCCCTGATCGACGGGCGTGGGGTTGAAAGGCGCAGGGTGTCAGGCGGAGCCGTCGTTGTCTGCCCCCGCCCCCCTACAAACTTTAATAATCCTGACCCCAGAGCATCACAGAATGAAGTCATTTAGGCATGACACACACACCCCAGATGACCGTGCTCAATGAGGCTGCTTGACACCCATTCAGGCTAGTCGTGTGATCGGTGGTGATTTGCCAAGAACTCTGGCGAATGGGAGCAGGCGGGATAGAGAGTCCAGCCTCCTGGCGGGACCACTCCCTGACTAACACACGGTCTGGGTCGGCCGCACTGGCGGTTCCTCCCACAAGAAGCTCTGCAGGAGATGCATCTTCATTGTGTGTCTCTCTCACTCTCTTTCTCTGGTGCCCTGTCCTCTTGGGCATGTTGCACGTGCAGATCAGGTTTCTGTGAAATGACGGAGAGAAAGGCGGGTGCCACACGTTGAAACCGCACGTGATAGCACCCGAACCCACGGCAGGCCGCAGCCTTTGAGGCAGGCCTGCAATGGTGCACTGGCCATCTGCGCGAGGCTGGGGGGCGTCCGGGGAGAGTCTCCCCCGTCCTTGCAGAAAGCTGCACATGGCACTGGGAGGGTGTGTGGGGGGGGGGTGGGTGCCAGTGTCGGTCTGAGGCTCCTGCAGATGGAGGTTGTGTGGAAGGCGAGCGGAGCATCGTCCTCTGTAGACCGAGAGCCACTGCATCCTGCAGTGTGACGGCGATCTGCTTCCTGTCGCCCGTAATGCATGCCTTTGCTGCTCTGATCCCACGATCCCTACCCCCACAGGGCTGCGTGTCGAGCAGGAGCCGGTGACATCCTACCCGCAGGTGGCCGTGGTGAGGGTCCCCACGCCCTGGGTGCAGTCAGACAGCGACATCACCGTGCTGCGGCACCTGGAGAAGCTGGGCTGCCGGCTGGTGAACCGACCACAAGCGATCCTCAACTGCGTCAACAAGTTCTGGACCTTCCAGGAGCTGGCTGGCCACGGAGTGCCCCTGCCAGACACCTTCTCGTATGGTGAGTTCTGCCGGTGGAGGGGCGTTGCGGGTCCGGGGCGAGGGTCCTAATGATGGGCAGAGATTTGGCCTGGCACAGGCATCGCACTGTCCCTTTGTGGCGAGTCAGAAGCCACGCCGTTATCCAGGTCGCTCAGTAAAAGGACCACGGCTGCCTCACTGCGCACTGGCTCAAACCCAGCAGTGATGCTTGCCACCTCGCAGCCCACTCCCTAAAAGTCCGTCTCATTCTTACGGGCTTATTGAGCGCCTGTGTCATCATTCCCTGGAGGCCACGCCCCTCGCTTTGCATTCCCTCCACTGCAAGAGGAGGCTGGGCTGCACTGCTGGATTTTTAAATGCCTCTGACGCTGCAGTTCCTGTCACATGCAGGCTTTTTATTATTTTTTTCCCCCACTCTCTCTCTCTTTTCCTGCTATGGGGTTTGGCCGACCCATGCTATATCCTTTTAGCCGCCAGCGAAGGCTTTCAAGAAGTTAAACAAGAGAATGTGTCAGTATGTGGTGATGAAAGAGGTTGATGTCATTAAGAACATGCTGACTGTCCACGCTGAACCGGTGAGGGCGAGGTCACAGCCTGGAGCTCCGCAGCCTGCGGCCCTGTCCAGGAGGAGTGGTCGAGAGTAGGGTGGATGGGATTGGATAGCTCTGGACAATAGTGTATGACAAATATGTATGTATTTCAGCAGGTTTGATGGGATGTGTGTGTGTGTGTCTCTCCAGGAGGACATGAAAACTTTCGCAAGATGATCGACGAGGCAGAACCCCTGGGGTATCCTGTCGTTGTGAAGAATGCACGTGGCCACAGAGGTCAGTGGGCAGATCCCCTCCCCCCCCCC